AGATAGATAGATATAGATAGATATAGATAGATATAGATAGATAGATAGATAGATAGATAGCTATAGATAGATATAGATAGATATAGATGGATGGATGGATGGATGGATGGATAGATAGATAGATAGATAGATAGATAGATAGATAGATAGATACCGATTAGATGTATAGGTATAGATAGATATTGTCTGTGTGTTTGGCTGGGAAAGGGAAAGGAAAAGGCAGCATAGTGTATAGTGATTAGGACTAGGATCTGGAACTACGGTTGACAGGTCCTCCCTAGCCACCAGCAAAGGATGGTGGGTAGAGTTGCCAGCTCCAGGCTGGGAAACTCCTGGAGATTTGGGTGTGGAGCCTGTGGGGAGGACAGGGTCCTCAGTGGGATACAATGCCATAGAGTCTATCCTGCAAAGGATACATTTTTTTTCCAGGAGAACTGTTCTCTGTAGTCTGGAGATGAGCTGTAATTCCAGGGGGTCCCCAGGTCCCACCTGGAGGCTGGCATCCCTATGAAGACCCAGGTTTTTGGGGGGGGAAACCTCTTCCCTTGGAAGCTTTCTGGGTGATCTTGGCCAGTCACAGACTCTCAGCCTAACTTACCTCACAGTCTTGTTGTTGTGAGGATAAAACAGAAAAGGGGTAAACGTTCTAAGCCACTGTGGGCCCCTAATGAGAAGAGAAGTGGGATATAAATAAAGTAAATAAATAAATTGGTGGGCCTGAATTCTGTGCATCCTGGTTAGGATACTTAAGTTTTGATCCAGAGATACAGGTTTGGGTGCTCATTGTGAGTGGAACAGGCTGAGATCTCAGGGCCATTAGCTAGTCCACACATGGTAGTTTCTTTTAAAAGTCCTATGTAAAACTCCTTCTTTAAACTCCTATTTAAAACTCCTAAAGACTGGAAGCAATAAAGTGGCACTATCAATACCTTATGTTCAGTGCTTCATTAATTTCCTTTTTAAAAATGTTGTATTTGGTGACTATTCCATCTCTTCAAAACCTATCATTGTACACATGAGTGAGACTATACACACACATATTCCCAGTGATGTGCAGAAGTAGTACTATTAGCACCCCTGTTCCTTGAGGCGTCATCTGCTTCCTCTGCATGGCATCACCAGCCTGACGCTCTTGAGTCTCAGGGTTGTACTGTTTAATTTTTCTTTAATGTAGCAACATAACAAGTAAAATAAATTGTAATACTGTACTCTCAACCTAACCTGCCACACAGGAATTGATGTGAGGATAAAACTGAGGATGGAAGAACTACAGATATTTCCCTGTTTTCCTTGGAGGAAGAATGGGACAAAAATCAACTAAATATCTTTAATTTATCTTCCACCTTTCTTCAATAATGGAACTAATAAAATATTAGTATCGATATATGTAATTTTCAATTTGGCCAAATCTGTGGAAACTTTAATCCAGAGAATGGAACTATAAGCAACAATACAGATCTCTCTATAAACCAGGAGAAGCCCTAGGTCTGCAAAAAGAATCTGAAATCTATGGAAAAAATCCACGGGGGGTAAAAAACACACCCAAATAATAGAAGCCTGTAGCTTTATGAAATGGATGACATCTCAGAGGCAACCTCAACAATATTGCCAGCCTCAAATCACTATTCTGCCATCATAGCTCACTGGGTGCCCTTGGATCACCTGTACATTCTGACCCTAACCTACCTCACAGAGTTGTTGTGAGGATAAAGTACAGGAGAGGAGAAGGATGTAAGCTACTTTGGTTATCCATTGTGTAAAAAGACAGGGTATAAATGAAGTGAATAGTAAATACAGCTGAAGATGGGGGGTAGGATAAAGTAGGGTGGTCGGTGGGTGGGAAGGAGAGAAAGAAGCAGGGAAAGTTGAAGATATGATGGTGTGCAAGGAGTAGGGAATCAGGAAATAGTGTGGTAAAGCCCACTGCAAGTCCTTGCATGTTCCTCAGTGCGGAACTGTGGCCAGCCCAACCAGCACCACATAACTCAGCCAGACTTTTCCCCGGGGAGAGGGTACCAGGGCTAGCAAAAGAGCGATAGGTGAAGATGGGGGCAGGTAAAAGTTGGTTGGCTGGTGGAGAGAAGAAAGCAGTAAAAGGGGAGAGGCTATGGGGGCTTTTGGGGAAAGGAAATAGAAGTTAGTGAGAAAGAGGAAAACAAGATGGTCCCACAAGTCTTTGAGGATGCCCTGCATGTTTATATAACATTTTCAGTGTGCAGGGCAGATCATGCACACTGTCTTGTTTATTGTCCTAAGCCTAAAGCCACCCGGTGAGGTTGTGGTGAAAGCAAGGTTAAAACTGGGGACTACTCATATCAACTCATTCCTTGCCATCATTTTATAAGTTTCAGCTCAGTGACTTACAAAAGATTTCCTGGTGGTCTCCCATCCAAATCCTGACCACATCTGGACCTGCTTAGCATTGGCCAGGTGGTTGTATTACATGCCCTGGGATCCAGGGGAAATAAAAGCTAATTTTTTTTCATTTATAGTATTCTTTCCAAATATTGGCATTTTTTAAACTTTTTAATATCTAACTGTGCTTTTGTATCATGTTCAGAGACCTTGGTGAAGAGTGTGATGACATGAACAAGGTCAACGGAGACGGCTGCTCTCTCTTTTGCCGGCAAGAGTTATCCTTCAATTGTGTTGGTGAGTTACTCTGGGATAATCAAGCTCTTCTGGTTTCCATTTTGCTCAGCAAGAAATGCTGATGATAAAGCATCGCTGTGACCAAAGAATGACAAGAAGAAGTTATCACTGTGGTACACCTGTAGGTGTCACCAGTGGCTGAAGTCTAAAATAAAAGGTGCTGGGTGCTCCCACCTGACCTGGAGACACTGACCTTTAATACTATATCTATCATCTATCTATCTATCTATTGAGAGTGCTGTGCAGAGCATGGTGCATTAATGTCGGCTTATGTGTTTACATTCCTGTGCCAAAGAACCAATGCTTTGGTTTCTTCTGGTTGATTATTATAGGCCCCGGTCACACGGGCAGGAAACTGCGGGGGAGAAGCGTGGCTGTTTGCCCTGGGGCAAACCACTGCGCGGTTACGCGATCAGACCTCCCGTGGAGGTCCTGTGGAGGTACCGTGGAGGTTCCATGGCAAGGGAGAGGTGCTGATCACAGGACAAGCCAGCGCGCAACGAAGAAGCGCACGCCGCAGCAAACTGTTTTTTTGTTGTGTGTACACGACAAATGCGCACGCTCCGTTGGGTGCGTGTGCGCATCCACAGAGACTTGGACAAAAAAACCACACATTATTTGCAGGGGACATGGGTGGGCGCCGGATGCCACTGGAAACGCGATCAGACGCCCGCCCTTGCCCCGCAGTTTCCGGAAACTAGTACCTCCGAGGTACTAGTTTTTTGCCACGCAGTTTCGGCTGGAAGCCAAGGTTGAGCCACGGGAGTGCTACGCTTCCCAGATGTGCTGGTGAGATCGTGCCCGGAAACTCCACCTGTTTTCCGTCTCACTTGTGTGGCTTCTGTTCCGTGTGACCGCAGCCATAGAAAAGAATACTGGTCAGGATGAACTTCTGGTCTGATGCAGCAGGACTTCTTACAGACAGATTTCCAGTGGAAGATCTGCTTCGTTAAGCAAAGGCAACCACATCGTGTGGCTTTTGACCATACTGACATCTTCTGGACAAAATGGCTGCTTTGGAGGGTGGACTCTATGGCATCATAACCGCCAAGGTCCTTCTCCTCTCCAAATCCTGCCCTCAACAGGCTCTACCCCCAAATCTCCAGGAATTCCCCAACCCAGTGCTTCCAACCCTACTAAGGGGGTAGATGTACAGAACACAGCACATTAGTGTTGGCTTACATGTTTACCTTCCTCTGCTGAAGAGTCAAGGCTCATCCTCCCACTTAGTGTGATATAACTTCTAGAGACCTTGGAGAGGGTGCTGAACCTTGACAAATGACAACTCTAGCATCTCACTCAAGCAAAGTTTTAACAAAACCTTTCCCAAAGACAAAACAGGGACAGTGATTTATCAGGGACAGGGCCCCCAAAGTAGGTGCTGTCCCTGGTAAGCAGGGCCTGCTGGTGTGTATCCCTAAGCTCTGTTGCTTCCTAGTAAGATCTGTGGTGGTAGAAAACCATATCATTGCAGCCTTGGGTCCCATAAGCTGTCTCCTCAGATTCAGCCCTCCTGTCTCCCTTCCAGTGGTTTGTTCAGTGGGATGGAGAAATCAACGCTTTCTTTGTTGCAGGCAGTTCAGGCCTTTGAGCTGAGCTAGCCTTTTGTGGATATAATCCAGAGCTTCTTTAAAGCCAAGGGGAGGGGGAGGCCTGCTTGCAAGAGAGCTTTGAGAAGTGGACTCAGCCAAAGGAGGCGACACCTTCTTTGAGATGCTAATGAGAGCCCTTGGAGGGGGGATCAAAGCTACTTGAGCCCTCCTCCTTCAGAGGTGATAATCGCTTAACCAGATCCCTTTTTGCAAGCTCGCTTTGCCTTGATTAGCAAGGGATTGTAAACACAATGGCTGGAAGATGTTGAAGCCATCAAGGGGGCCTGTAGGATTGTTCGTCCAAAACCTTCCCAGTTGATTACATTTGTGCCCATCATTTGTTAGAATATCTGGGGGCCCCTGGAGAGAAGGAACCCATGCTGGCAGCACAGCTGTCCTTGATGGCCCCACATAAATGAGCAAACCCCATGGTTTTTTATGCTGCCTGTGTTATTCAGTGCTGGGTTGGAAGCATGCCTGTATCTAGGGGCTTTGACTGTCATAGAATCTTTTCCACCTCTCCTGATGTACCTGTGCCTGTGCAATGGGGAGACCTTTAACAAGGGCCCATTGTGCTCATAGGTTCCTGCTGCAGAAGACAAAACCAAAAAACAATATCTTGAATTTGCAAAGTGAGCAGTGGTTCAGAAAAAATGGTCAAAATACATATATTTATTTGTACAGAATTAAAAAACCTATAGGGGCCCAATCATACCTCATGTAAAAATTCCAAAATCATATATATACAATGGCCAATGGACTTGACCTGAAGCGTTTTGGCCTGTTAGGGCCTTCTTCAGAAGGCAAACAGAATGAGGAAGAAATTGCCCTATACCATAATACATTGTTGTTGTTGTTCAGTCGCACAGTTGAGTCCGCCTCTTTGCGACCCCATGGACCAGATCATGCCAGGCCTTCCTGTCTTCCGCCGTCCTCTGAAGTTGGCTCAATTTCATGTTCGTTGCATCTATGACACTGTCTAACCATCTCATCCTTTGCCATCCCCGTCTTCTTTGACATACTTATACCTTAATACATACATAGGTCCCTGCCACACGGCAGAAAAAACAACGGGCAAAGTGCGGCTAATCAGAGCCGCACCAAAATAGAGACGCCATGGCGGGATCCCACGGATCCCCTGAGCTGCGGCGCCGTTCCTCCCCAGCACAATCAGATGCCAGGGAGGAAGCCACAGTCGGGAGGGGGAGGCTGCCGAACTGTGCATGTGTGAGCATGCGCAGTTCGGCCAGGAGCCGGGGATGCGCCGGCGGAAGGACGCGCCGGCGATCCCACGGCCGGCCTTGATGCGGCCTTGCCGGAAGAACCACCTCGGTAGGTGGTTTATTTTTGCTGCGGCGTTTTGGGCGGAAGGGCCGGATTGGGGACGGGTGCGCAACGCTTCCCAGATGTTGTGGTGGGATCGCGCCCGTTTGCTGCACCCCCGATCCGTCCCTCTCCTGGCCCAAAACCTCTCGTGTGACCGGGGCCATAGTACATAATACAATACAGGTATACAGCATAGATACAAAATGGACCAGAAAGGAATTGTTCCAGAGTGAAATTACTAGGCATAGAATGAAAATATAAATGAGGCCTCCCAAGATCCAATCATATGCCAAATGATATTTCACTGATAATAATTTCTGGTCCAGAAGGTAGGTGCCTTTCAATAACAGTTCACTCCAAGCCAAAGTGTCCTCAGCAAGATTGCTCCTTTAGCAAAGAGCAGTCAATTTGTTCCTCATTGTGTTTGCCCTCTGAAGAAAACCCTAACAGGCCGAAATGTGTTAGCCCTTGTGTATATATGATTTTGGATTTTTTACATGAGGTGTGATTGGGCCCCTATATGTTTTTTAATACTTTACAAATAAATACATGCATTTTTACATATTATTGATACATTAAGTTGTAATCGTTGGCCCACTACTTACCTTTTCAGGTTCTTGATCCAAGTTTTCAGGGGTAATTTTGTTTCCCTTTTTGTTCATAGTCAGAAAAAATTGTGCCACAATAAATGTGTAAGTCTTTAAGATGACCAAGACTGCTGAGAGCTACTACAGTCCCTCCTCCAAAAAGGAGTCTGTCTTAGCACTTCCACACAACATCTAGACCTAGGCCCAAACATTAAATTAAAACCAATCTCCAGGTTTGCCTTTTGCCTATTCACGTGGTCCCTCAAGGTGAAAAGTCCCCCTGACTCCCTTCTACCCTGTTTGGTGGCCCTGATGTTGCCAGAAAGCTCTTGGTTGATTTGGGTGTGGATAATGTTTGGAACATGTCTGTAGTGTTTTAGTTTTTTCAAAGCCTCTATGCATCCATTGGTGGTGGAAAGTGCCATCAGGTTGCAGTGACCCCAAAGGATTTTCATAGAACAACTCTGTAAGGTAGGCCAGTAATGTTGCCATGTTGCAGACAGGGTAACTTAAGCCTACAGAATGCTGTATGCTCTGAAGCAAGAGTTATGTAAACATTAAAAACTACTTGCCTGGACCAAAAGTCCATATAGACCTCTAACAGTGGGCAGCCAGATGTTTCTGGGAAGTTCACAAGTAAAAACAAGCAGATCATGTCCTTTTCCTTACGTTTATCTGTATGGTATGGTACACAAAAATTTACTGTCTCTGAATATAAAGGTTGTACTTTACTGACCATGACTCCCCACAGGGGCCATGTCTGTATCCACAGTTCATATAATACCTTTTATTAGGACTAAACAAAATGACACAAAACAGTGCTGAAGCTTTTACCAGAACTCGTCATCAGAGTGGATGCTGCAACATCAGGCCATGTTTTTAAGGCATCTTGCACAGGATTTTGGGAACGTGCCAGTTTACCACATAGAATCAGTCCTAGCTCATTCCAGCCTAGCTCTCTCTCTTTCCATTTTTCCATCTCCTTAACCTGTTCTTTATCAGAGGTAGACTGTTCCTGGACCTGAAGTTTCCATTTTTAGTTCTCGTGGTTTATCTCTCTTAACATTTTCCAATCCATTTCTCAAAGCCATTTTTGTGAGTGGCCATTGTCATATTTTGTGGCAAGGATTTACATTAGGCAGGGGTCTTTTGTAGAAAAAGAGCTGCCGGAGCTCATTAGCATAACTCATTAGCATAACTCATTAGCATAACTTATTTGCATATGCCACACTCCCTGACATCACCGGAAGTGGGTCAGAAGGCCACACCCCCTGACATCACCGGAAGTGTCAGAAGGCCACACCCCCTGACATCACCGGAAGTGGGCAATTTGGCCACTGCATAAATTAGTTTGCTCTGGAGGCATCTTTCCTGAATTAAGACAAAAATGTATGAGCTGGAGGCTAAAATTTTTTTAGCTAGCTTGCAGTTAGAGGAAACACTGGACAAAACCCAGGTGCCCTCAGGAAGTCCACCAGCAGGGCCAAAACTCCAG